CTCTCCTCTCCTCTCCTCTCCTCTCCTCTCCTCTGCCTGAGCTGGGGAGGGCCACCCTGGGAATGGGGAGGAAGGGACCCGGAAGGGCCTGAGGGGCAGGGCGGCTGCCTCCCTCCCAGGGACGATCCTTGGGGCCCTACTGCTCTTTGTGATCCCTGAAAGAGCTGTGCAGCCCCGTGGCCGGGGGCACCTGCACATCTGGCCGCTCAGCCCAACGGCATCTCTGCCCTCTTCCCCCGAGGCTTGTGGTGCGATGGCCCTTCGGTTCTCCATGCCGGTTTCTGTTCCTTTCAGAAAGGGGGGCACCTAGCATTGGGGGTGGGGGTTCTGTTGAGATTCCCATGTCAGAATCCCTGTCTTTCTCCCACCTGAACATCTGGATTGGGGCCCTGATCCACCTACTTGCCTGTCTCTGCTCCCTTCTGCTGCTGTTCCAGCCCTGCAGGGTCCTCTGGGGAGCTGGCAAGGGAGAGCCTCCCTCGATGCTCCCACCAGCCATCCCCAATCCCAGATGATGCCCAGAGCCCCTCCCGAGCTAGCCAGGTTGTGCCTGGTTGCCACAGATGAGTGTGCACACGAGAGCCAACTGGAGCAGTCTATGGAAGGATAAACATTTCCCGAGAGGGGACATCCATTCAGCTGGCTTGGCCTCTGTCCCCTCAAGGGCTGCCAACAGAATAGTCATCGTCCCACCCCACCCCCCATCCTGCCCTCCCCTCTTCGGTATCGTGGCCTCCCTGTCAGCGCCTCCAGTCCCCAGCATATCATCTCTGGGAACGTGCCCTCTCGCTTTAGGCTTGGCCATGCTGGTCCACGTGGCTCCTGCTACAGTGAGGCAGGGGGCTCTTGCCTGGCTAGTCCTGCTGCTCCGCCTCTCACTGCCAGCACCGTCACTGGCCTCTCCTGCCTTTGTCCCAGCTGGAGCCCGGGGGCCAGGAGGGTCCCTGCCCAGGGAAGGGCTTCTCGCTCACCACCTGTCCCAAGCAGAGGTAGCCTGGTGGGGCAGCCCTCCTCCAGAAGCAGAGGGGCCCTAGAGCTGCCAGTGGGGGGTCCTCCTGCCAGTCCAGGAGGAGGCAGGTGCTCCCCCCCATGTGGCCACCCTGTGCCCACCTGGACCACCTCCCTCTCCTGCTTGGTTTCCAGCTGGTTCTGACGATCGTGCGGCAGACGGGCGGACTTGGCATCAGCATTGCTGGGGGCAAAGGCTCCACCCCCTACAAGGGGGATGATGAGGTGAGGGTTGGGGCAGGCTTCCAGGGGATGGTGGCCCTGGGGCGGCTGCGGGAGGGAGGAGCCAGTCCCCACAGACTTCTTCTCTCCAGGGCATCTTCATTTCCCGTGTGTCTGAAGAGGGCCCGGCGGCACGGGCAGGGGTGCGTGTTGGGGACAAGCTCCTGGAGGTATGTCGCTGGGCATCATCAGCAGGGGGCTTTCTGGGTCTGCCAGGTCTGGCCTGAGGAATGGGCCCACATCTGCTCACAGGGGAGGGGGCAGCGATTCCAAGGCCTGCTGCTTGCCAGTGGCTCCCCCCACCCCAGCGCTTACCTTCCTGGTAACAGGACTGTGGCCGCCCCAGCCCAGCGTGCACTGCTGGCTTTGCCGCTGGCCTTCCTCCTGCCCCTTTGAGCCTCGGCCTCTCTTCTTGCCCCCCCGCTGTTCACCCCGGCCTGGATGCCTGGAGGGCTTTGTGGGGCAGCTGGTGGGGGAGGGAGGAAGAGAGGGAAGGTCTGGGCTTCGGATGGCCAGCGGGCACTTGTTCCAGCGGGCTCTCCCTGCCCTTCAGGTGAACAGGGTGTCTCTGCATGGCGCTGAGCACCACGTGGCAGTGGAAGCCCTTCGGGGTTCGGGCAGCACCGTCTCCATGACGGTGCTGCGGGAGCGGATGGTGGAGCCTGAGAATGCCATCACGGTGACGCCGCTGCGGCCTGAAGATGATTACAGTCCACGGGAATGGCGCGGAGGCCTGCACTTTGCTGAGGGGGCCGAGGGGGCCACCCCAACCGAAAGGCTCTCAGCGTGCCTCGTGCGGAACGAGAGGGGCCTGGGGTTCAGCATTGCTGGGGGCAAGGGCTCCACGCCATACCGGCCAGGGGACACGGTGAGGCCGGGGTAGCAGCTTGGCTTCTTTCCTGGCGGCTGGAGGGCGGGGGGGGGG